TAGAAAAATCGTCTATATAAGGCAAGTTCTTGTGATCCACTTTTAGAACTTTATTGGTAACACAAAGTACAAATATCTGAGCAAGTGAAAATACATTGCTGTTGGATCAACGCTGAAACCTATTCTTACCTAACAGAGCTTATCTCGGATGTACCCTTCTTATATTTTTTTATCACTGTTTGAATAAAGTTTTTGCTTTCCTACAATTCCACTAGATTTCTGTGACAATTGACTTTCCTGTGGGGTACGCCAAATCGGCTATGTGCTTAAAGTTCTTTAGGAGTGCTTATCTAAGCGTATTATTACCAGTATATATTCGTAGATTACAAACAAAATATAGAGAAAATCGTATATATATTTCTGTGGACAGGTGGAATTGTCGACAAAATCCGCTTACTAAAGTAATATTTACGGATATGTAATATAACTACATACAAAGCTTCATACATAAAGCAGTTTAATATGAGTAATCAATAATATTGAGCTACAGATATCAATAGTATGATTTTTTTATGAGAAAGAAATCAAAAATATGCGCTTAAAGGAAACCACTTTTCTTTAATAAAATATCTACTATACTTCCTGGTTGTCATTGAAATCATCTAACGACAGCACTAAGAAGCGTGTTGTTTTGATGGGTCTCAATAAGGATATAGGTGTTCGATGTGTACAATTTATTGGTCTTGCAAAGGGTTAAGCCTGAAAAAATATTCAGATCAAAGTTACAATCCTTGCTTTACATTTGCGAGACAATTCGAGCTCTTTGAGTCCAAGTACGCCGTTTACTAGGAAGGAGTCAGTGAAGATGTTAATGGCTCCACTGTGAACGGCGTTCAGCGCATGTGTGGCGTGAGTAAAATCTGTAGCCTGCTGGGCGTTTTGTTCCATGTCGTCGACGCAATATTGCTACTCTTAGGAAAAGATTCCACTGCAAGCAGATCTCAGCAATGTAGTTCTCTACAAAAGCATCAAAGCTGAAATTGGGTGAAGAGAAATGCATTGTATTCGTTATTTGGAAGTGGCCGACATGTTATACAGGGGTTCAACGAGAGTCATCAGAACCTACAATGTGTTATCGAACGGAGTGGAATGTAATGGAATACATGAATCTTCTTCATCTGCGTTCCACTACATCCAGACGCCTTTATTGATGCTACGCATTTTGTGACTGGTCAACCGTTTGATTGAGGATTGCGGATATTTTGTGCAGCTCTGTACTTTGGCAAGATCGTGTGGTAGTGATAAAGCAAAGGCTATGAAACATCTTAAATTTTAATTTTGTTATTAGTCAAAATTTAGTGACATCGACTGCGATATTATGATCCAAACTGTACTCCTTCGTCCAATTTGTGAATATTATTTTAGTTAAGAGGAATCAGTACCCAACGATGGATCGTTTAGATATCAATGAGTGTTAGCCTCCTTAAGAACTTACTGAAACATGAAAGTACTCAAAATTTGTTATCACTAAAGCAGGAAAGTTGCAACTGAGATTATATCTGAAGTTGTAGATTCCCTTTAAATACTAACAAATCACGTTTACTTCTGTATTCATTGAGTATAAATTTATGTACCTCTAGTTTCCTCTACACGATTAAACTTGAAGGGTTTGACAACTTACTTGCACAGTAAATATGTATTGACATCTTTTGCTAAAACCTTCCAACCTACCGAACCGATGAATATAGTAATATGCGATAATCGCAGCTAGGGAGTCAATTGCGTCAGTTATGATAACTGAGAAAGTAAGTATGTGATGAAATAAGATTTCTCTTTTTCTTTGTTAGCGTAAATCTTACGCAGAACCTTTCTCTCGAAAACTCGTAACGCCGGTTGTTATGGCCGAATGTTAGATGTCATCCGCGTACACAGTATTGTACACTCTTGTAGAAGATTATATCTTCTCTATTCAGCTTTGCAGCCGGAATTATTTTCTCCAAAAGTAGATTAAAGAAGTCGAACAAAAGGGAGTCGCCTTGTTTGAAACCTCGTTTGGTACCGAATGGCTCGAGAAAGTCCTTCCCGATCTTGGCGGAGCTTTTGGTATTATTCAAGGTCAGTTTACATAGCTTTTCTAGTTTTGCGCGGGTATCATATTCAGACAAATCGGCAAAAAGGCAGCTCCCTTTTGTATTGTCGAAAGCAGCTTTGAAATCGATGAGGAGGTGGTGTGTGTCGAGCCTCTTTTCACGAGTGGATTTTCCAGGCCTAAAGCCGCACCGATGAGTTCCAATCGTTTGTTGACGGGAGGCTTTAATCTCCCACACTCTTCTTTAGACTTTTCCGAAAACCAATTGTCTCGATTGCAGTGGTACGTAAGGGCTTGAAATGCCATCCCAGTTCACTTATACTGAGTTGCTAATGATGATAGCTGCTTCTCGACGTCGAACCTTCCTCGCCTATGTGAAAAATAACAGGATGAGCTTAAGACCTTTCATTAAAAATAAGTTTTCATCTTCTTTCTCCAACAATAACGAAACCCCTATTGATAGAATATTCAACGCATGCCCAGCCTGTGACAAGACATAACGCTTTACTCGAGACATCGAAACTAAATATTACCTAAAGAACACCTTATTTTAGAAACCCGAAAAAGATTATATGAGAATGTTCTATGATTTTAAGAAGGTTCATTGAAAAAAAAAAACACTGCAACTCAAACTGACGTATAAAATGGCTTGGCAGATTTTACGTCGAGTTCTTAATTTGAAAGCGTACAAAATATAGCTTGTGCAAGAACTAAAGCCGCTCAATCTTTCCAAGCGACATCGTTTTACTTTATGGGCTCTTGAAGAGGGTATGACCTTTTGAGCCTATTTCTGGCTCATTGGTTACGTAAACAAGCAAAATTGCCACACTTGGGACGAAGAGCAACCTTAAGAGACCCAAGAGATGATGTTTCAAACAGAAAAAAATGGTTTGATATGGTTTGTGGGCCGGAGAAATCAGCGGTCCACATTTATTGAAAAATGATGCCGAGGAGAACGTAACCGTCAATGACGACCGTTAACGCACCATGCTAACCACTATTTGATATCCGAAATTGAAGCGTGCGATATTTCTTTTCTCATACATGGCATCAATCAATGGATTTATTCAGAGAAGACTTCGGTGAGCAGATAATTTCATGTTTTTGGCCGGTCGATTGGACACCAAGATCGTGCGATTTCACACCTTTAGATTTTTGCCTGTAGGGAGGATAAAATCTATGCTGTCAATGCCGCTTCGATTCAAGTCTTGGAGCAAAACGTCACGCGTCTCATTCGCCAATTACCAGTCGAAATGCACGAACGAGTCATCGAAAATTGGACTACAAAATCGCCAAGTTAAACATTAATTTACTTATTGCACAAAAGAGGACATAGAAATTCTAAGTAAAGTCTTATTCAGTTACGAACTAAGAAAATTGTTTGATATCAAAAGAAAGTATGCTATAAACATAAACAAGCGCAAGAAAAATTGGAGAAAAGGAAGAAGAAGAACGGAAGATCCGAACTAACTACTAGTTGCCACTTCCTTTGGCAAACCAATTCAAACTTGTAATAACACTTGGCAGCGTCACTTCAAGAATGGGTACTCAAGAGCATAATTACTTGTGGGTGCACTCAGGAACGATGTGTAGACAAGATGTTTGTTAACCCTCTAATGGACAATTATCACTTTTAGTTTAAAGTTTTTTTAATAATATTCGAATTAGGTTTCCGCAGATTTGTGGCAATTTTTTTTTTTTTTTTTTTTTTTTTTTTTTTTTTTTTTTT